ACTTCTTTCTCTATGTGATGCTTAAAGCCACTAATAGAGACGCCGGGGCACGCACACAATCCGTCCCTGTGTCGCGCGCCCAATGTCGCGCTTGACGCTGACCGAGTGCCCGCCTAGCGCGAGTCTTGACCGCCGTGAGAGGGCCTAGCAGCAACTAACGCGCAAGAATAGTTCACCACGTAGAAGTAGGGAGATCTACTCTGCGGGAGATCTTCAGCATCTTCAGCATCTTCATTCAGGGTGAACTCCGCAAAAGGTCTCTATTCTGACAGAATATTTTTTTGATGTGTAACTTCGCAAAGCGAGCTCCTCTATAAAGGGTCTTTGTAGCAAAGCGAGCTCTTCAAGAGCTTTTGCATATATTCACGAAATGAGCTCGTATCTTCATGAGCAGAACAAATCCCATTCGGGCCTCTGCGGCATCCTCTTTCTGGTGAGCTAAAAGGATTACAATCTGTCACCGGAACCACTCCGATCGCTCTCGCACACCAGAGGAGTCATCGATGGAGAAGCCGCTCAACTCGGAGGTAACTCTCTTCCCGTGGAGACTGATACCTCTCGAGCTTCCGTGAGAGAGTTCCCCGTCAAGGACCCACAACGGAGACGGCCCCGGTTACATAAACAAACGAGCTCCCTGTGGCCACCGATAAGTCTTCTACCAGCAACACCGATACATCCAAGGACGCCGGGACGAAGGAAGAAGAAGCGGCTCAACCGCGACTGTTACGCCAACTCTTTGGGACTGAGGACTCCGAAGAGGACATGTACATACATACATACCACACACGCGCCGCAAGGCGCCACAAAATCTCTCATAAGTATCGACGGGTACCTCTGTAATAAAGAGAATATTATTTTTAATTTGTGGAATTTCCTTATTAAATGATACCTATTCACATCTATTATTTAGAATTAATAATAATTAATAATATGATAGCTGTTCAGTAGTATGATGTAGTACAATAAGTGTTCAATATCTATTCAATAATAGTTTATAATAGTTTGATAATTATATATATATAATAATAGTTTGATAATTAAGCTCAGCTATTTATATTACATTACTAAAAATATTATTATAATTAGTTGCTAAATTAAAATCACTGCTGAGTCATATCATTAAAAAATCATAAAACAAATACTATATTTACTTAATAAAATATAATGGAAAGAAGAGAGAGCATGAATACTATGAGAAGTATAGAGACACACAATGAGAGAGAACACGAATATTACAGCTAGAAAGTATAATATACTACAATGGATGGAACATATATCAATATATGCGCAGTATTTGGCAACGTCGCAATGTATCAAAATTATATTCATGGTGTCATCGCGAAACATATCGTATTAACATGTCAAATATCCTTAAAAAAATCTTTTATTACACTAACAAAGCTGCCGTATATTGGCGCTTGCATTTTTGATTCTTTCGCTTGTATTCATTGAACTATTCCATATGCGTTCCTGAAGAAATGTGATGATGATAATGAGTAAAAAGAAGATATCAATTATCAAGATATATTTGCACCAATACGATATGAAATCATACCTTATTAGTATCAATGGTAAACAAAGAAATGCCTACGCATCAACTGGATGCCATTTCAGCTAACGTCTAAAGTAAATTAAAAGATGAAGTATATATATATATATATATATATATATATATATGGAACAACCTGAGATGTTCATTGAATCAGAATGAAGAAAAAGTATATAAGTTACAAAAACCCTTGTATGGTTTGAAGCAATCAGAAGAGTGGTATAAGAAATTAGACACATACATCACTAATAAAAGTGCACAACGGACAGAAGCAGATCCATGCGTGTATATTTTCAAAGACGTTAATCGAGTAATTGTTATTAATTACGTAGATGACCTAATAATAGCCTCAAAAAAATTGGAAAGGATAAATGAAATTAAAGCCATGCTTGAATCTCAATTTGAATATAATAGATTTAGATCCAATAATTAATATATTAGGTATCAATATCGAAAGAAATGGTCTGACTAGAAGCATCAAATTATCGTAACAAAAATACATTGAGGATTTAGTCAAAAGATTTAACATGACGGACGCAAAGACAATATCAACTTCAATCGAATCAAATACGAAGATCACCAAACGTATGGGCTCGACGAACAATGAACAAAGAATGGAGATGAAAAAAAATCTTACAGAGAATTAGTAAATTTATTTATCTGGCAAATGCAACGAGAAAATTCCCCGACATCGCGTTTACTGCAGGAGTATTAAGTAGGTTTTGCTTAGACCCTGAAAAAGCGGAATTTAGCAAAAAAGATTCTTAGGTACGTGAAAAATACTTCGAATTACCGTATAGAATATAGTAAAAACAATGAAAAATTAAAGGCTTATACGGATTCCGATTGGGCAGACGACATTGATCGAAAATCATGTACGAGAAACATACTCATTTTGGCAGGTGGACCTATTAATTAAAAATCCAAAAAACAAACATCAGTATCATTATTAACAATGGAGGATATGCGAATACGTAGCATTGTCTGAAATACCCAGAGAAGTGTTATAAAAAGACTTTAATCATATATAATTTAAGGACTGTAAAAGACCCTATTCTTGTTTATTGCAACAATCAAGATGCAATTAATTAAAAACTTAAAGTTAACTTAAAAACGCGATTTTTTAAACGTAACAAACATATAGATATTGCATTTCATTTTGTTTGTGAATTAATTAATAGTAATTGAAGTCAAGTATTTATGCACCAAACTTATGATTGCTGATATATTTACAAAACCTTTGTCAAGAATCAAACGTGAGAAATGTGTTGAGATGTCAAAATTAACTTAATGTTAGTTTGACAAGTACATTAGTTACTTTTTATTAATTTATTTGATCAGATTACAAAATCTATTTAAACTAACACATCGATAGAGGAGATTAGAAGCGCAATCATTATGTGCAACACTTACTGAATTGTATTTTCAGTTAGTCTTCGTTATATATGTATCTGACTACACGCGTGTTTTTGGTTCTCGCTTTTATTATCTCTCTCAGATCTTCCCTGTGTCAGTCTACAATAAAGTCATTGTGTTTACTTGCAAACTTTGCTTAATTTTTACATTGCCTTATCAATTATTTTATTAGAGATATATTATAGATATATTTTTATTTAATATTGTATGATACTAATATATTTATTATTATAATAGAATTTATTATTATAATAGATTAAATAGATAGAATTATAATAAAT